GGGGGGGGGGGGCTGGGACCTTCTGTCTGCTTTTGCAGATCAAATCCAAGCAATCCCTCCGGGCTGTCTCCCACCCCAGCTTTATCAGCCTCTTCACTTGCGGGTGGTGTTGATTGGCTTGGAGGTGTGGAGCCACAAGGACAAAATTGTGGTCAGTCCCAACCCAGAGGTGACACTGGACAACTTCCTCCACTGGCGAGAGGCAGAGCTGCTGCGGAAGAAGCCGCATGACAACGCCCAGCTGATCACGTAAGGACAGGGGGCTACCACCTCACCATCCTTGCAGCCCTTCTGCCACCCAGGCCACATGGCCACAGTGGCATCTCAATTCCACAGGGGCATAGACTTCCATGGCACGACTGTAGGGCTTGCCAAGAAGCTTGTGATGTGCACCAGGGACTCAGGCGGTGTCAATCAGGTGGGTTCCGCTGCCCAGGCATGTGCTGGGAGGGCAGCAGCAGTCCCACGGTCTGCACTCCCTGCATTGTATTTTCCGGAGTAGATCTCCACAGAGAAGTGTTGGGGCCTCAGGGAAGGGTAGCTGTGGAAACCCAGCTGGGTGCTTGCAGAGGGCTCTGATACACCTGAGCCCTGAGGAGCCTCCCAGAGCAGCTCTGTGGACAGAAGGCCTCTCCCACCACTTGTTGAATGGCTGAGACTTGGTTTGCAATTGCTGCTTGGCCATCCTGGCTGTGCTCCTTATCCCACCCCAGGGAAGGCATTCTTTGCTGGAGCATGAGCCATGGAAACTAATGGGACCCACAACTATCCAGAACCACCACAAAGCATTGTTTCAGGGTAGCTGTTATATCTAAAAACACACTCTAGAGGGGGACCATTCTGGAGGTCTGCAGGGGCCATGGGACCAAGTCCAGCTTTTGTCTTCCTTTACCTTAGCATGGCAGAATTAGGGAACAAATTGCAGACAATAGAAAGACCTGGCACCCAGTGGCCCCATGGAGAGCATACCGTGGAGACCATTTGGACCACGCTGCACTTCTCCCACAGGACCACAGCATGAATCCTATTGGCGCTGCATCCACCATGGCTCACGAGATGGGGCACAACCTGGGGATGTCTCATGATGAAGATGTTGCTGGCTGCCTCTGTCCTGTCCCCAAAGCTGATGGAGGATGTGTCATGGCAGCGAGTGTTGGGTGAGTAAAGGAGAAAGGGGAATGTCTCTGGGCAGAAAATACCTTGAAGTGTCCTCCGGCATTGTCCTGGTGGGGTGAAGCCTGCGAGATGGCCAGGGCTGGGTAGATGTTTCACTTGAACCTGCACTTCAAAGGTCTGTTGGTGGCCCTCCACCTTCTCCCGGGCTCTTACTCTGCTCATGACTGACTGTTTTTGTGCCCCTTCAGCTTGGCTTATCCCAAGCGTTTCAGCCGCTGCAGCGAGCAGGACATGTGGCAGTTCCTCAGGGATCCCAGGACCAGCTGCCTGCTGAACGTCCCCAGGGTGGATGAGCTGTATGGGGGCCCAGTGTGTGGGAACCAGTTTGTGGAACGGGGAGAGCAGTGCGACTGTGGCACACTGGAGGTAGGGATGCTTTCTGAAAGCCCAGGAAGGAGGGGTGGTGGCAGGAACCTGAGGCCTGCCATTCAGACTTGAAAAAGGTTGTGCAAGGCTCTCCACTGGACATTGCTTTGCAAGACTCATCTTCCCTATGTTCCTCATGCTTCTGCTGAAAAATAACTTATGGAGGATTTGTTAACTTAGACATGTGCCCTCCCCTCCCCCCCACGGCCTCATGTAGCTGGAGCAGGAGTGTGCCTTGAAAAGATGGACATCCCACCAATGTGTCCTCCAAAGAGGTGATTCAAGAAGTGGTACATCATGTCATGTTGTCCTTTCCAGAGCTGTGGTCAGCTTTTTCTCGTCCCTAGAGGGAGATTTGAGACAATGTCTCTGGAATAAATCCCTGAGTCACAGCCCTCCTCTGGGACCTGAAGGGATGCTCCCCTGATACAGAGAGCACAGAGATCCTCTTGTTTTCTCCTTCCTGGAGGTGTGCAAAGGGTGCTACAAAGGAGAAAAGGTCCATGTCAGGAACCATCTTCTGAAAGAAAAAGAATCTCTTCTTGTCCTTTGGTTTGATGTTGGTAATGGGAGTAAAGAGGCAGTGGTAATGGTTCACACCCGGAACGATGCAGTGGTTTTTCCCCACGGTTTAGCCCATGGCAGCTACGCTGCTGTTGGCACTGGTGATGTGGCAGCCAGCTTCCCCCAGAAAGGAAGGAAAAGGGGGGCTTTTGGGAGCATTTCAGTCCCTCCTTGTCTTGCAGGAGTGCTCCGACCGCTGCTGCAATGCCACCACTTGTCAGCTGAAAGAGGGAGCTGAGTGTGCCCAGGGGGACTGCTGCCAGGACTGCAAGGTACTGCTGCCGGCGGGGGGACCAGGTTGGCAGGGAAGGGAGCTGGTGGGTTCACAGTCCTGCCCAAGGCTCCTCTGGTGCTTCCCAGTAGGGGCAAGGTGTGTCCATACCGCTCTGGAAAGCCTGAAGGATCTCTGTAGCAGCCTGCCCAGAGCCAAATGCACCCAATGGTTTGGGGGAAAATCGTGCTTTCTGTCTAATGTTCTCACTACATGGACAGTCAGCATCTCGGATGGGAAGTGATCAGGAACATGAAGCAGCCTCTGTTTCTGGCATCCTGGAGTCCAGGTCCAGGTTAGATGCAGGATGAAAGGTATTGAAGAATTGGGCAATGTTCAGAAGAGATCAATGTGGACCATTTCTAGACCAGGAAACCAACCTGCTCCATTTATCCAAGAGAAAGTTGAATTACGTGTGTTGGTTCCTACACATAGGCATAATAAATACCTTAGGGAGGAATAGCCCCATACACCAGTACAGGTCACGGGCTGACCTGCTGGAAAGCAGCTCTGCTTTCCCAGAGATCTGGGAGTCCTGGTGGACAACATGTTGACCATGAGCCAGCAATGTGCCCTTGTGGCCAAAGCCAATGGTCTCTTGGAGTGCATTAAAAAGAGCGTGGCAAGCAGGTGGAGGGAGGTCATCCTCCCCTTCTAATCTGCCCTGGGGAGGCCCCATCTGGAACATTGCATCCAGTTCTGGGCTCCCCAGTTCAAGGCAGACAAGGAACTGCTGGAAAGAGGCCAGCAGAGGGCTACAAAGATGATCAAGGGACTGGAGCACGTCTCTCATGAGGAAAGGCTGAGATACCTGGGTCTGTTTAGCCTGGAGAAGAAAAGACTGAGAGGGGACTTCATCAATGTTTAAAGGGTTGATGTCAAGAGGATGGAGCCGGACTCTTTCAGTGGTGCCCAGTGCAAGGGCCCCCACAAGGGGCAACGGGCACAAACTGGAATACAGGAAGTTCCATCTCAACATACAGAAAAACTTTCCTGTGAGGGTGGCAGAGCCCTGGAATGGGCTGCCCAGAGAGGGTGCGGAATCTCCTTCTCTGGAGATACTCCAAACCCATCTGGATGTGTTCCTGTCCAGCCTGCTCTAGGTGACCCTGCTTTGGCAGTCCTGCGGGCTGGACTAGATGATCTCCAGAGGTCCCTTCCAACCCCTCCATTCTGGGAATCTGTGATTTTGTGAAGAGATAAGGCTGGAAGAGGACCCCAGGTCAAATCCAGACTAAAAGCAAACCACAAAGTGCTGACTACATGGAGAGACTTAATGGAAAGACCCAGCCCAAGGCCTGACAGAGCTCTGTCCTGTGTAGTAGCTCAGTCAATAGTAGATGTCTTTGTGCCAAAGTAGCACAAGCTGATATGTCTGCATCTGTCAGGTGCTGGGAGATATTTTGAAGACCAGGGTGCTGTTGGTGCTGCCAGTTTGGATCTGGGGATGTGAGAGCATCGAGGCAGTGCTGACATCCCCTTTTCTGTGCAGGTGAAGGCTGCTGGTGTGATCTGCCGGGCCAGTAAGAATGACTGTGACCTGCCTGAACACTGCACTGGCTTCAGCGCCGAGTGCCCGGAGGATGTCTTCCAGGAGAATGGCTTCCCCTGCCAGAACAGCAATGGCTACTGCTACAACGGGGCCTGCCCCTCGCACAGCGAGCAGTGCCGCATGCTCTGGGGTGCAGGTAGTTGCTCTCCCACGCTGCCCACCCCTCCTCGCCCCCATTGCTTGCTGATGTGCCTGGAGCTCTGGCTCCTCAGGCTGGGCTGCAGTCCCCTCCTACATCCCTAGCTATGGCTGCTGACCCTAAGGGGTGGCCAGTTGTGTCAGTGCTGCGGGCTCTGGCTCCACCTGACCTTTTCCATGTGTCCTGCAGGGGCCCAGGTGGCTCCTGATGTCTGCTTTAAGCACAACAGTGAGCAACACCTTCATCTCCACTGCCTCACCGACTATGGGAAGCGGCCCTGTAGCCCCAAGTAAGGAGCTGGGAAGGTGGGGTGGTGTCCATGCCAGCAACAGCACCATGGGGCCAATCAAAGCCCCACAGCCCCATGCCACCCCCACCACTGGTGCTCATGGCTGCTTCCCCCGCAGGGATGTGAAGTGTGGCACACTGCTGTGCCTGAGTGACACCATCAGCCCAGTCCTCGGTGGTGGCTCCTATTCCCTCTTCCTTGGCCGCTTCAAGTGCAAGGCGGTCATTGCCAGCAATGATGCCAATGAAGTGATGGCCAAGCTCAGGCTGGTGCCCACTGGTACCAAGTGTGGAGATGAGATGGTGAGTGGGCTGCCTGCCATGCTGAGGTGGCAGAGCTGGGAGTCACCACCAGCTGCGGGGACCTCGGGCAGCCTCAGAGTCCCCTTGTATACCCCCCAGGTCTGCTATGCCGGGCGCTGCCAGAACCTCCTGGTCTATGGCAACAAGAACTGCTCAGCCAAGTGCAACAACCACGGGGTACGCTGTGGGATTATCCTCACCCAGAGCAGCTGTGGGGCCCAGGGCAGCAGTCCCGGCTCCTACAGCGTGTTCGCCACCCTGGCACTTTCCTCCCTCATCCCAGGTGTGCAACCACAAGCAGGAGTGTCACTGTGAGCCGGGCTGGGCAGCACCGTACTGTGAGCAGAAGATTTCAGGGATGGCGGCAGGTACAGCACACCCACCCTGTGCATGGCTGGCACCAGCTACCTCAGCCTGATGCCTGTGCCAGGGAGGGAGCCTGGGGATGGAGGCTGGGCTCCATCACCACAGTGCCCATCCTAAGCCAAGTGGGTCTTCACAGGGAGCAGCAGTGTGGTCTTGGCGGTGGTGCTGGGCGTGCTGGTGCTCTCCAGCATCCTTCTTGGCAGTAGCTTCATGCTCCTCAGAGGCAGGGTGACCAGGCACTTCCAGAAAGGGTAATTCTCTCTGCCCCATGGCGTGGCTGAGCCACAGGCTGAGCTCAGCAGGGGTTGCCCAGAGCTCAGGCCTTGCATCGTCTCTGTGCCCCACAGGAGTACCTCTGGTGGGCCCACCTCTGGCCTTGCTGACCCACTCTTCCAGGAGGGTGGCCAGATGGCCTGTCCCCGCCGCCAGCTGTCCCACCATGATATCAGCCACCCGAACCTGCTCAGCAGCACGGTGGCCCTGGGGAATGCCCGGCCCCTCGCACCCTGCGGCCCAGCACTGCAGGTCAGGGAGACGAAGGGAGCCCCGGCACGGAGCAGCCATGGCCAGCAGGGCAGGAGGGCAGCCTTTCAGCCCTGCTTTTTGCTGACCCTGCAGGCCCCAGAACTGGTCCCCAAGGTAACATCTCCAGGACGGCCCTCACAGGTAACTACCCCTCCAAAAGCCACCATGGCAGGGTGGCCTGTCCTTCCCTCTCAGACATCTCCCTCTCCACCAGCATCCCCTGGCCTGATCAGTTCCAGATGTGGGGCACATCTGTGGGGTTGGGCCCAGTCAGCTGATGACTTGGTGGGGGGCCCCCTGTAGCCCTCTGGGTCCCTTCTTGGCACCCAGGCGGGGGACTTGGGTCTCTCCTCTTCTCCCACCAGGTGAAGTTGAAGCCACCCACCAAGCCTCTCCCGGCACTGAAGAACAAGGCACCGTGCAATGGTGAGGGGCTGCCGAGACCAGCCCTCCCTCACCCTCTACGGACAACCCCCTCCATCCTTCAGCAGGACATCCCCCTGAAGGTGGCCCTGAAGCTACCACCCCCAGCCAGGAGGTGACCAAGGATGCCTCATCCACTGCCATGGCTGAGGATACGCTGGCTCTGGTGGCACAGCCAGGGCACCATGGTCTGGCTTCCACCCTCACTTGAATTGCTCACCGGACCCTCTCCCAGGAGGACACCCACGTTTACAGATTTGAGTTGTGCCTTAACAGACTTGTGTAGCCTCACGGCTGGCCCAAGGAGAGTCACTAGCTGGGGCTTTGTAAGGAGACCAGGATTGGGGACAATACCAGCTCCAGTTTTGAGGCCAGCCTCAAGTTGGTCCAGGCTCTCCTGCACCCTATGAACTGCTGCCTTCTCTCCTGACATCCTGAATGTGTGCTGCTCCTCATGCCTTCCCTGCTGGGGCCATGGCAAGAAGCTCCCAGCATTGCCTGCCAGAGCTGGAGGAGCACAGGGACCAACAGGGACCCACAGGGACCATGCCCCAGGGCCATCACCCCACCTGGGGGTCTCACCAAGGATTTTGACAGGTCCAAACTGGGCTTGGGCTCCCCACAGGGCTTTAGCTTTTATCACTTGTGTGACTGTTGTCCTGGAATTTCCTGGAAGCCTTTTTACTGCAGCCGTTAACTTATGACCCTTCTGTGACCATTTTGAGCCATCTGTCATGAAACCAGCCCCTCCCCCCCATTTTTGATATTATTTAGGTTGAAGGCTTTTATACCAATAAAGACGGAAGGTAGTGGTGTAATGGGGTGTCTCTTGGCAGAAGGGAGCATGAGGGTGGATCCAGCACAGGCAGAGCCGGGGCAGGGAGAAGGGCTTGCGCTGAGCTGCCAAATCCTGTGCCAGTCACAGGGGCCCAAATGGCAGTGCTTCCTGCTGGCTGCACGGAGCGAGGCTGTCACAGGGGCTGCACGATGCTCCATCAAGTCCCTGTGACCCCCCCATGACTCCTAGCACTGCTGGCCCCCAGCTGCCACAACAAGCCCTGGGCTTTCTCTGTGACCAAGGACTAACCATCCTGACTCCCACCAACAGCTCGGCTCCCAGCATCCCGGTCCAAGACTAGGTTGTGCTTGCACGCAACGTTGGTGCTCAGGGATCAGCCCATGGTCCCCGGGGACACAGCTCTCATGCAGTGGCCGTGCCTGCTTGGGAAATGCTCCTGCACTGGCCAAACATGAGCCACAGGGCAGCAAGGCTCAATTCCCACCATGAGCTTCAGAGGATGGCAGCAGAAAGTGAGCAGGATTCCCAAGTACTGCCCCTGCTGCTCGGCTCCACCAACCTGCAGTTTTCTTCGAGCCCAGGCTGCTCATAAGGCTCCTAGGGTGGCAGTCCTGCAACTGGGGACATGCAGCATTTCTGCAGGGTGAGTGGGACAGATGCCCCCCCCCCTCCTTCACATGCCTACAGTGACACGGGCCCTAGAACACATAAAACCACCAAGGAAATGGTAACAAAATAATTTTATTCTGCTTTATCAAAAGAACATTATCACACAAACATTGTTCATGTAAACCTGAACATACTGAAAACATACTGTGTTTCCTTAGAGGTGTGGATCCAGTGGCAGACCCCTTTTGTCACACAGGAGCACAGAGGCCTTTTGAATGGAGAGAAAAACCAGTTCAATCCCACATTCCTGGCTGCACCCATGTTCCTGCTCCACAGCTTCCAGCTTAGAGAGAAGGAAAGCCCAGATGGAACTGTTAAAGCCATGGCAATTCCCTCCTCTTGCACACCAGTCAGGCTTCTGAAACAGTGGGCTGGGGAAACAGAGAGGGATGGAGGAGGCTTTTGCAGAAGATGCTGAGCATCACACACACGTTGCTGCAAGACTTCAAACCACAGAAGCATCCCCCGGTGTCCTTCAGACCACATGGGTCAGATGTGGCTGATGCATATCCAACCAGAGCAGGATGACATTTAGCCAGAGTGATAGCCACTAACGGTAAAGTCATACATCCACTTGGATGGCTGCAGGGAGGCCCAGCAAGGCTCAGATCCAAAGAGAAGCAGCCCTTCCTCCAGCGGCCTGGAAGGCTTTCCCACTCTCCACACTGGGATCTCATTCTGATCCCTGCAGGAGAGCAGTGAGCTGCCTGGTTATTGCTTCTAATGGTTCCCCTCATGCCCTTGCTTCTTGTCATCTGGCAGAACCTTTCCTGTCCACCCAGCCCGATGCCCAGGGTTTGACGCCAGCACTGGGTAGTGTCCAACCTCAGTGAGTACCACACAGAGATAAGTCTATGCCTCCTGCAGCAGTGTTTCTGTTCTAAAAAGGCTGCCTTTGTCGCAAAATACAACCAAAGCAGCTGCCACAAGCCAGCAATACCAAGGAGGTGGAGGGTCAGAGAGATGCAACTCCGCTGGCTTCTTGAAGCCCTTCCCACAGAAGAAAAGGGACCTTGTAAGTCAAACAGTACCTCAAGAGACATTTCAACCATCACAGCTACAAAATACACTACTATCCCCACTGCCCAAGTGCCCTTCTCCTTGGGAGGGCACTGCAGGGTCTAACGGGGTTAACGCTGTGCCTGCCTGTTCCTCTCCTGCCATCAGCCACAGGCTTCAGCTCGGCCCTGCCTGTTGGCTGAGCTGCCTTCTAGCAGGACATACAGACATCCTTCCTGTTCCCGTGCCCACCAGTGTCCTTTGAAGGCTGCTCTTTGCCAGGAGGGCAGCGTTTGCTCAATCCTTCTGCAGGTGAAAACGTGAGCTCCTCCATGCAAAAAAAAGCTGGCATAGCCCTCCCAAGGCTGGGATTTGCAAGGCACATGGCTGTGCCACAACCCCTGTGCACCAGGTGTGTACAGCGAAAACTTGAGAAACCTCTCCTCTTGGTGACAGCAGTACCCTTCCTCTCTTCCTTAGAGCACGAGGTAAGTATGCTAACCCACAACCTCCCTGGAAGCCAGGATGGGTGCTCAGCACCTTCAGCTGGCCTCTCACTGGGCCATGGCCTTGGTCCTCAGCTCCTGTCATGGCTGGATTTGAAAAGGAGCTGGTATCCTGAAGCAGAACACCAACCAGGCCTTGGGAGTTTGCAGACAGATGGAAGAAAGACAGACCACCTAAAACTGCTTGGAAGTCCCACAGTCATGTATTACCCAAGCTGGCCGGTGGTGGTAGCAGGAGAGACAGGGTAAATCCATCCCTGTTCTGTCCCAGAGATGGAGCAGAGGCAGCCAGGGCAGGAGCTGAGACACCATAAGGCACCACATGTTACCAAACTTCCTTGAGGAGAGACACTTCCATCCTTCGAGTCAAGCCACACAGGCTAGGAAAGCAGCACTGGAAAGCCTGAAGCCCACACATCTTATTTGGGGAAATCACTAGCAGAGGTGAAGTTCAAGCCATTTGCTCTGGGTTAAACGTTTCCAAGGCAAAAGCTAAGCACGTTCCTTCCCCTTTCCACAAGGCTGCAGACGCTGCCAGGGACAGAAGACCTCAACACCAACTGGCCCATCTGGTGAATCGCACCATGGCTGCACCCGAGAAGACAGGAAAGCAGGATGAACGTACAGATATCCCAGGCAGGTGGAGGAGAGGTGGTCTCGAACACGTAGTGGGGTTCAGAGGCAGACAATGCTGCAGTGCTACCTACTGGGGAACAGTGTTTCAGCTCAAGATCTTGCCAGTTGCTTCCAGAGCCATTGTCTTTCGGGATTGCCACAGAATGCAACTAGAAACAGGTCATAGAAACAAGCATGTCCTCACAGGCAAAGCGGAGGAGAGAGGAAAAGAGGAATGCAGACCATACCAGCAGATTTCCCTCCCCAAGCACGTCTCTTTCTCTCACCCTGCAGTGGCACACAGGGAACAGGGGTTGGATGTATTACAATGCACACCAGAAGAAAAGATCACCGGCTAGCACTGCTCGAGTCAAAAGCCCCACAACGCAGCAAAGCCTGGCCAGCAATGAGAGGACCAGCAACAGTCTCCCAACCACAGCTGTTGCAAAAACACAGGAGCCACATCCTGCTTCCTCTTGGAGCAGTGATGCCTCACATACTTTACAGCTGAGGTGTCAAACATCTGATCTGCTCCACAGTGAGGTCCCTTTGCTCTTATCTTCCCCTTCACTTTGCCAGCAAGGCAAAGCAGTGGAAATTCAGCCCCCTTTTCCTGAAGAAAAGTCCTACAGGCCAAAGATTGCCCAGCTCTGTTCCCAACCAGCTGCTCAGAGGTGCTCCACACACTCTGAAATCTAGTTTAGGATGCAAGGTGAGACTCAGCTGCCCAGCTGAAACATACTACAGTCAGTCACAGGCAGCCAGCGTGAGGCTCTTGCTTGGAGTTAGAGAAGCCCATTAGAGATTGCTTGCTCCGAGTTATATTCTAGTGCCACTGCCTACAGGAAAGAAGAACATTATGGCTATGCAGACCCTATTCAAATAACCCATTCCACACCAAATCACTCTTTGCCAGGCCTTGCCCTGAGCAGGAACACGCAGCCTCCACTGGCCAAGGAGAGCCTACTCCAACGGAATCCTTGAGGAGAGTTAAAATAGTGCCGGTAAAAACCTGCCTTGGAGTCTACAAAGCGAAGCTTCATCGGCAGGACAAAGGAAACCTCTTCGCTTGGCCTCAGTAAGGAGCACTGGGGAATGAGCAGTGTGCAGAAATATAGCACTCATAGCCACATCTCCCACTTCCAGAGCAATACTTGCTAAATAATTGCACCTACTGCGGAAGGCTTTCCTGGTGTCTGTCTTTTAATATTCCAGTATAGGTATGTTAGTACAGGATTAACCCTCATTTGGAAGCACCAATTTAATAGGGGAAGAAACAGAAGAGGCAGAGCACTTGCAATGTGTTGCTAGAAGAAAATCAACCCAACTGCCACCTATATACAAGATGTCCATGCATGCGCTGCATCTGCCCCACCAGCATAGGGCAACATCCCCATTCACAGCCGGGCCAACTGTTGAGCTACACTGGGTATTTTTCTACCTCTGTCAGCCAGTGCTTTCCTTTGCTCTGAGGTGGCTTTCTCCAGAAGTCTCTGGGGCCTCCTGTGAAGGAAGGCTGGTTTCTTGGTCAGTCCTCAGATTGGCTTGCTGGAAGGCACAGGAATCCAGAAACACGTTGGGGATGCGGTCACCAAAATACAGCTTGCTGTTGGCAGCTATTGCTTGGTATTTCATTAGTTCCAGATACTCAGGAGTAAGTTTCAGCTACAAAAAAAGAAACCAGAGACTGTAAGAGACAGCCTTCTGGGCTTCATTACATTTCATCTCAGGCAGCTGCTTCCTGGGATGTGGGCTGTTAAATGAAGTGTTTTTCCTGTGCTGCCCACCTGAACCTTATCTCCTGTGCAGAGGAAAAGAGTAAGCAAGTCCTCTTCTGACCAGCTTTCAAGTGCTCACCTTGTTGGAATCAGCCAGCTTCTGAGCAGTGTAGTACTCCGCATCAGCTTTGGCTTTCTCTCTTGCTAGGAATGCAGCGTCTAACACAGCAACAGAGGACAGACAGGAAAACAAGCGTTAGCTCCATCACACTGAGCACCTGAGGTTGTCCTATGGGAATGAGCTGACCCAGGTGCGCCCGTATACCTGCACTGGTGGCTTCTTGGAGAGGTACCTGCAAAGGGGAGGAACGACCCCAGTAAACAACCTTGTATTACTGCACCCTTTATTATTTTTGCAGGTTGGTGATGCTTGTCAGCCCAGTTCTGAGATTCCTCTACCTGCTGCCACCCTTAGCTGAAAGATGACCCCAGCAGCATGGTAGCACCACAGTTACCTTCAATTTCAGAAATTCGCTTCTCTGTTTCCTTCTCCATAATCTTCTGTTGATAGTGAATCCTGGCCACCTGAGCAGCCTTCTCTGCCTCTGCAATCACAACAGGCTCAGCTCAGACAATCACTTCTCAGGGCTTGAGCACCAGAACCCTAACCACAGCACCTGACCACAGAACCTGCCACGCCGGTAAGTTGCTGCCTCCCTTTCTGCTCAGATCCCACAGCATCAGTTCATACGCCGAGCAATAGTTATAGGAAGAAAGCACAGCAGTAACGTTTCTAGAGTTGCACTGCCTGACATCCCTTTTACAAGCATAAGTCCCCCCAGTGCAGGGACATTTAAGTTCAAGCCCAAGCAGCTTTTTGGCAGATCTGTCACCTCTTGGCCCGCTGGAGCAGGAGCCTCGCTGTAAGGCAGAGGTTTTCGCTGCTCTCTGCTATGGGGAAGGAGGTGGGACATAGCGACAGCAGAACAAACACTCATGTTTTCTAAATGACAGTTGCTGCAACCTGGATGTGCCTCCTTCAGGGAAGCTGTTAGCAATGAAAGACAATGTCCTACCCCAGCTTACTAGGGGATGCAGGAATGAAAATTCAGTCTGGCCCCCGTCTGCTAGTGCTCGCAGCTGGTGACATACCAATAAGCGCTTTCTTCCGGTCTGTCTCTGCCTCCTTCTCTACTACCTTCTGCTTCTGGGCTGCAATCAGCAGCTTGGTCTTCTCAGCCTCCCTGCAGGGTGAGAAACAATATCACAAGGAAACAGAGCTGGGGAGCAGCTCTGCAAACCAGGGCATGAGAGGCCAGGGGGACAAGAAGCCAACTAGTTGCCAGCATCATGTCTTCACAGCCCAGCCAGGAGGACTTGCTCTGTCTTCAGCTGTATGAGCGCATGCGTAACCAGCAGGTCGAAGGAAGTGATTACTCTCTTTATTTGGTACTGGTAAGCCCGCATCTGGATGCTATATAGAGTTTGAGCCCTCAGGACAAGGAGTGAGTTCAGTGCAGGGCTACTGCAGGTGTGGGGTGGAGGCCAGGGCGTTGAGGAGAGGCTGGGGGAGCTGGTCTTGCTCAGCCAGACCCAATGGCATTTTCCCCTGCCCAAAGGGGTCCCAGAGGCTCCAGGGCTGGACTCTGCTCGGAGGGGCACAGCGAGAGCCCCAGGGGCACCATTACAGCTAGATCACAGGAAACTCTGTTCGGCCCCAAGGGAACAGTCTGTCTCCATGCAAGTGGGGCATTCCGACTGGGCCCAAAGCAGTGGAGGATGCCCCAACTCGCCCACACACGGCTCCCACTGACCTGCTGCAGCTGCCACGTTGGATCTGCCGTCTAAGCCCTTTCCCAAAGGAGATCTCCATGGGTATGTATCACGGGTATGTAAAATCTATTTGCAATTTTGTGAGTTCGCTGGAGGGGAGCTTATGGATGAGACATACAGATCCCTGAGCCCTGAATTCAGATTACGAGTCTCCTACAGGTGTCTACATGAGTGTCCTCTCTACATAAATGAGTAGGAACATATCCTTGATACACACTCCGCACAACCCTTGTGAAGGGTTGAAAGGCTTCAAGGTGAAAGAGCTACTGAAATAGAGAAACAGAATGCACAAGTGCACACAGTCAAGCACACACTGTCTAGAGCCCACCTCTCACCTTCTGAGCACCAGGTAAGAGCTTTCTAATAGCATTATGCCTGTGCTGGACCTTCAAAACCAATTCATACACTTTTATATACTCACATTAGCTCAAAATTTCTCCGGATGGCTTCTGGAATTTTAGGTTTTGTAACACGCACAGCCTATGAAAAAAGAAGTGAGTGTATTTTGAGTTAAACATTTTGACGTGAGCTGCATAACTAAGAAACGTCTTTGCAAAACCAGCTGTAGTGCTCTGGACAACTCCACGTTGATTCAAGACAACACATAATGGTTCCCAATCCTCTTGTCCAACACAGCTGAGCACAGCCACTCTCACTGAGGTGCCTTACATTTGTATTTCATGTCTTTGCTCCTTTTATTGCACCTGAGTGATCAAGTAAGGCCTGTGGAATAGACTGCCAAAGAGGCCCACCACCTTTGTTAGAAGAAACTTAGTTCTCCACTCCAAAAACTCTTCAAACATCACCAGACAACACTTCCTAAAGTACTGCTCAAGAATGGGACTCATGAACAAGCTCAGGAACGGGTTTTCCAGGAGAAAAGCTTGCAAAAGTGACAACACAATTAAGAGACATAGCTGTGAAGAGGGGGAGAGCAGCAGGGCACAGGTGACAGCTGCTGTTTGCAACTGTGGGTCATCAAGATTGATGTACACGGCAATGCTGACACCCCAACTCAGGTACATGCCAGAGACAGCCGCTAAGCTGTTCTGTGGAGGACTCTCTCTGAAATATGAGGGAAACGTCTCCAGAGGCAGGACCAGGAGCTACTGCTGCTCAGCTGGCATATTGTGTGGATCATTACTGAGCTTTAGGAGACATGGATTGACAGTCCACAGCTGTCTAATTGCTTTACAACCCTTCTGCTCCATTTCCACTAGTGCTGAATCTGCTCCTTCTCTCTGGGCTCAGAATGTCTGCAAAGAGCTGAGAGGCTCCCACAGAAGGGAATGAGATATGGACACACAGAGGCAAGTCTTCGTACACAGTGCAAAAAGGGAACCATTTCCATGTGACAGGCATCCTGGTCGTGGCAAACACACCTTGCCTGGGGAGAAGGAGCCAGCCTGTCATCAGAGCACAGAATGGTTTGAGTTGGAAAGGACCTTCCAAAATCATCCAAGTCCAACCCTCTCCCTTCCATGGGCATACACATCTTCCACTAGATCAGGTTGCTCAAAGTCCTGTCCAACCTGACCTTGAACACTTCCAGTGATGGACACATCCACAACTTCTCTGGGCAACCTGTTCCATTGTCTCACCACCCTTATCGTAAGACATTTCTTCCTTACATCCAATCTAAACCTACCCTTTTTCACTTTAAAACCATTGTCCCTTGTCCTGTCACTACAGGCCTTGGTAAAAAGCCCTCTTTGTATATTGATAGGGCACAATAAAGTCTCCCTGGAACCTTCTCTTCCCCAGGCTGGACAACTCCAATTCTGTTCCTTCTCTGAACAAGCAAAGAAAGCAAATATATGGGACACTGAACCAGAACATCCTTCGGTGAAAGGATTTTTCTAAGCTCCTACCAAGTCCCTAGGAAGGTGCCATAGGCAGAAAGCTCACCTCACCAGCTACTGCAGCGTACGCAGATGGATATTCTTTCAACCTCCATAATACCCCCTGCACCAAAACAAAGACAAGTTTCCAGAAGGATGGCTTTTCCAACACAAGCAAAGATTAGTCTGTAATCAGGAAAGCCGCCAGGTCTTTGAAAATCTCCAGTAGCTGCTTCTTTTTCAAGCGAATGGCTCAATATATCTAAGGGTGAAATCTACTTAAATCTACTAGATGGAAACACTACCGTGTATTAACGTACTGCCAGTATGTTAATAATCAAATGTTGAGGCACTGGGAGATGCTGGGACTAACTAGCTGAGCAACAGCTTTGCAATGAAGAGCATGACAGAATCAAAAGACAAGTTGACTATATGAGAGCATCTTTTCCACATGGCCATGAAGTCCAGCCACATTCTGAGCTGCACTGGCAAAAGCTCAGCAGCAGGCTGAAGGCAGTTTTTATTCCAGTGTGGGGAGGCTCAGTATAAGGGATACCAATAAGCCTGAGAATGCAGCTGAAAGTCACCGAGATGGCAATGTAAACTTTGCAGAGAACGGGAATGGGTTGATGGTACAGTACTTCTCCTCTTCTGTTGATCCTCCTCCTCTTTAAATATGAGTGCGACATTTGCCTGTTTCCAGCTATTAGGGACCTCCCTTGACTTCTGCCATCTTTCAAAGTTAAGAGAGTGGCTTCACAATGTGCAGGCCAGCTATTCAGCACCCTGGGATACATCCCACACGGTTCCACAGGGTTGTGTGTGTCCATCTGCTCAGTTGTCCTCTACTATGGGTACATCATAGATTCATAGAATTGTCTAGGTTGGAAGGGACCTTAACATCATCTAGTCCAACCATCAACCTAACTCTGAAAAAAAAGCTTCACCTCTGCAGACACTGCTGCTAGGGGAGCCCAAAGGCAGACCTTGCCAAAAAGAAGTCAAAGGTGTCGAGTACTTCAGGTTATTCCACATCCTTTGTTACTATGTGCCCTGTTTCACAGCTTCCTTGGCCTTCCTTTTGCTGTGGACACACCTCAGAAGCCCTCTGTGTTGCCCTACACAGCCATCATTAGGTCCAAGTCTAGCTGAGCTTTGGTTTTCTTAACCGCCATCCCTGCACTCTCAGTTCAACTAGCTTTATTCCTCCCAACATATCTATCCCCACTCCACTTTTTGTGAGATTACTTTCTGCTTTTCAGCTTAGTCAGAAGGTCATCCACACAGGCCTTCTGTCTTCACCTGCTTGCCTTTCCACACTTTGGGGTGTCCTTGGCAATGACGTGGGGCCTCCTGGCCTCCTTTGCATGGCAATCTCCCACAGGATCCCGACAAGCACACCTTGCACAAGCTGTTCTGTTCTCCTTAAGCCCAGGCTGGTAATTCTCCTGTTCACCTTGCTCCCCTGAGGACCTTGAACTCACCACCTTACAGCTGCTACAGCTCACACTGCTACCACACTTCACCTCTCAACCAGTTCTTTCTCATTTCTAAAAGGTCCAGCAGAGTATCTCCCCTAGTCAGCTTTGCTGCCAAAACCTGTGTTCAACACCCCACAGAAACATCCAGCATGCCTTGCACCCAGCCCTCTTGCTCTTCCAGCAGATACTGAGGTGGTCAGAGACCTCCATGAACACTAGAGTCTGTGATCATGAGGCTTTTTGTGGTCTTTGACAGGCAGATTTACCTACTTCATCTTACTAAATGGGTGATCTGCAGCAGATAAAGACCATGTGGTCCTCCATGTTGGTCTGATTCTTACCTATATTGGCTCTTATCTCAGCTGTTCATCATTCATCCCAAAGTGAAGCTCCAAATTATGTGAGCCAGTTCTATGCAGGCAGCATGACCCTGCTTGCCTCACCTTCTCAGCCCATCCTCCCTAGAGAGCCTGTACCCATCCACAGCAGCACTGCACTCATGTGAGCTATCCCACCAGGCCCCGGGACCGCAAATGCACATGGATTTCTGGTTTCTCAGCGTTGTTTCTCAGGAGGCGTGTGCTTCTGTCCAGAAACACACTTGAGACAAGCCCAAGGCTGTGCCACTTTCACAGGGGAAGTGTGGGAGCCTCCCCTATGACACTGTCCCTAGGCACTTCTTTCCATCCATTGGTCTCCACTTCTTTTCAGGCTGTGGCCACCATTTCAGTTAGGAAAGAATGTTTTACATCATGCAACATGGAGGACTTGTGAAGGTTTCATACACATTAGTTTTACTAAACCTAGAAACAAATGCTGTTAATTCCCTCTAACAGCATCTTTTCAATAATGAATTGTGTCACTTCTTTGAAAAACGAATTGTCAGTGATCTCTGAAGCACTCATGGGTGCAAACGTGCTCTTCAAGAGAAAAGTTTTATGCCCAAATACAGAATTATTTCCCTTAGAGTTCACAAAACAATTCAATTCTAAGTACAGTTAAGTTAATCTGGGTTACACAACTGCACGTGGAGAGTGGCACAATTTTAGCAGAGGCAAGGTGCAGCTCTGTTTTGAAAGGGAACAATAGGAACACGAGGGCAGAATCACAGTGTCTTAAGTAGTAGAGATGAACCACTTTCCTCACTAGTTAGGGCACTTCTTCAGACTGCTAGTCTGGCGAGTTCAGTGTGGATTGATGCAGGCAGGATATCGTTCACCTTTTGACCAATAGTGAAGATCAGGCATGCCAAATTGAGATGGGATATGTTTATATGTGTATGTTGAAGATCAGATTTAACCCTGTAGCTAACAGCTCCCAGCAAAAAACTGTGAGCTTTGCTTACACCCTTCCATACCATGAGATCAAAAAGGGCCTTTACATTACAACCATAATTATTATGATGAACTTTGTTGGAAATCTCTCTGCGATGTACAGCGCAAGTTAACTTGGATATTTAGAAGAGAGGTGCCATCTCAAATTCTTTGTGATAAGACACTACTTGTGGTTCACCCCCACCAAAACAGAGCGGGCCTGTGCACAAACAAGCTGCAACATAGCTCTTCACGTGCTTCCCCTCCCTGCACACAGCCAGCCAGCCCAGCTAAATATGGCAACAAGAATGGCAAAACAGATTTGGTCTCACTCTTCCCCTACAGTGTAAATCTGCAGAGATTTCCAAATTAGCCCTTGCAAGCCAAAAGAATATTTTTCCCAGTTGGTTGCCTGGAACTTCAACATATCAAAAAGCCAGTATGTCCCATAGCCCAGCTAAAATTAAACATGATTTTCTAACATTAAGTGTAAGCAGAAAATCATTAAAGATATAACATCTTTCGCTATCTCTAGTACAAGCGTGGAAAAGATGAAGCTCTTTTCTTTTGCAATTACCTGTAGGAACTGCGCTGGCACACTGGGGTGCCCAGCTCTGCAGGGGTGCCAGAAGTAGTTTAAAGAAAAACATTTTCTCGCTCTTTGCAAATTAAATCCAATATAAAACTAGCATTTGGAAGCGGTCACTATCATATGGACAGTCTTCAAATGACAAAGCTCAAGTCAAGGCTCAACTATTTCACATTAAGTGGAAAACCAAAGCAAGAAACCCCATCAATCTAGTGAAAGGTGAGCAAATGAGAGGTGGAAAAAAGAATAATCTTTGTTAGGGAATGAACCTACCTGGATAGTGAGACCTGGTGCCATGACATTGAGATCTTTCTGCAGGGCCAACTTCAGATTCTCATCTATCTGATCTGTGTTTGGAGGACAAGAGAGAGATCACTTAGCTTATAATTTCTCCTACAGCTTATGTGGTAGAGTCAGCTGGCCTTGAAGAGCAGGTGTCTCTATGATGTAAGATAAAGATGCATTAAAGATATATAAAGATATAATAGGAAGGGATACATCGTTTCCCTTCCTATACCCCCTTGAAAATGTTCCAGAGAATCGCATGCTACTGTCTCTAGAAAGGTCCAGCTATTCATGAACTGAGAATGAGGGCAAATGGCTTTCAGTGTCTGGGCAAGAAAAAACACCCAGTGCCTGTGGTAGAGGTCCACCCCTTCTAAGCCAGAGCCACACCAACCCCTCTGCCTTAAGTGTCTACAGACCTGCAGAACCCAGTACTTGCTACTGAAAAAAACCCATGTATTTTGTCACTTCCAACGTCCAGGAAGATCTTCCCACGGAAATGGCCAGTTATGAAATGATTAAGCTGCATGTATTACCACAAAACTCCTCTCTGAGCACAGATATTTGGCAGGTCTCAGTACAGCACTGACATCTCTTAATATTTTCCCCTGCTCTGCCACTCAAGAAGGAACATGATGCTGTTACGTCTCTGGGGGCACAGGTAGGTACCAAGCAGAACATTAAATTTGCTAATTCCTGAACCACTGCTACCCCCTTGTGAAAAAACTAGAGCATTGCAACGAGCCAAAAGCATGTTCCTTCTGGCACTCATTTGCTAAAAACAGCCAGAAGGAGGTTTTTAAAATAAAAAAGTCAATTCAGCAACAGAACAGGGGCCTAAAAGCAGAAGTAGCAAGACAAAAACCATCATCGTAGTGAAGGTAATGAGCATGACTGCACACACCAGAGATGAGTGGCTACTTCCTGTGTCCAGAATTCAATCCCAAATGGAAAAGGGCTGAAATTCCCACGTGCAAATGTGGAAATCTGAATCATTAAAGAGTAAAGTTACATGGGAAGTGGCATATAGATATATAAGGAGCTGGTTTCTAGCCTGCAACCCAAGCACGGAGGATGTTTGCTCGCAGGAGCCTGCTGTAACAGTAGAACAGGCAGATGAAACGGTTCTTGGTGGGCACATCCAGCTGCCATCCACTTACCAAACAGCTCAATGTATACTTCCTGCAGGGTATGCGCACTGCAAAACTGATTCAACTCATGATGAATTTTATTGAAGATCAAGGTCTTATCGTAGTCTGCAGTGTAGTTTCTCACAATATCATACACTGAGGAAGCAAGGGAATTATCACAAGTCACCACTGACACATACTGCTTTCTGCAATGCCACAACCACAAAACAACAGCTCGGGGCATTAGAAAAGTAGTGCAGCACTGGGACAGGTGGGTAGCCTTGGGAGTCTTCAGGACTCAGCTGGACAAAGCCACAGCTGCCCTGCCCAGTTGTTAGTCAGAATCCTGCTGTGAGCAGGAGGGAGGTCAGAGGAGAAACCTGCAGAGGTCCCCTTCACTAGCACTGCTGGGATTGTATGACTTCAAAGAGCAGAGTAATTACAGCAAGATATACTGCACAGTCCTGTTTTATGATTTGCATAAACAAACGAAAAGGTAAAGCCTGTCTAGGACCTGCATGCATGGGAACAGATGCTACTATAAAGTAAAAACCTGTGTGAGTCTTTGGTTCAGCAGCTGGTGAAATCAGAGGCTTCTATACAGGCTTTGCCTTTCTAATTTTCCCAGCAGCTGAGCCGACAAGCACTTGGGGACTTTGTCCCATGTATTTGGTTTCACAGGTTGTCTCCCCTTCAGCAGCAAAATATAGACCAGCTTGAGCACCCATCACATTCCTGAATGTACAGGGGAGAAACAATCCTAGAATTTATTTTCATCTTTGCAAATCTGTGGCTCTTCAAAAAGCTTGCAGACACAGGCACAAAACTAAGCGCTACCATACTGGGAACTATAAGGATATGGACACACAGAAAATGGAAGTCTTGCAAACCAAGCTACAGGATGAGCGAGGACAGTGACAGTGCTGCCTGTTGAAACAGGATGGGAAATACCTGCGTACGGTGCCAATTTATTCACAACTTCTATTCGGTCAATGTAGATCATAACACCACCACTATGAGAAAAACAGAATTCATGAATTATTACCGCAACTGTTAATGGTGGTGCATATTTAAAGCAAAGTCATCTTTTCCCCCATTTTTACTAAATTCTACTAAACTTACTCAGAACAAGTCTGACTTCTTGAGTAAACCCTCGCTTTGAACAGACTGGTCCCTCTCTTTGCATAAAACAAAAGCATGCTCCAGCAAGTCTGCAAAGCACTTTCACTTAGCTTTGTTACCTCCTGCTTTGCCAGCAAAGGAAAAACATTTTTTAACAGGAATGTAGCTGCAACTATCAGAAAGGGAGAGTCCAGAACAACAAAGGGAAGGCAACAAGGAGAGCAGACACCACCCGCAAGCAGCAGAGCAGACACAAACTCAAACACACCACAGCTCTTCTAGGCAGCAAAAACATTTTAAATAGAAAAGCCCCTAAATTCATGCGTTTATTAACTCCAACACAAATCTGACAAAGCCCTTGCTAGAAAGCAAGAAACAAAGCATGTAACAGAGTTTAATTCACATTCCCTGTATCAATGTCATGTTGCAAACAGCTTGCTAGTAACACTGCAGCTGTGTGAACGTGCCCAGGCATGTGCACTGTCAAGAAGCTCCAGACACCTGGAAGAAGCCTGCACACAGTCCTCTCCCCAAGGGATCATGTGCTGCTGGAGCAGTAGAGAAAAGAGGGAATCAGAGGTAGGGCTGGATCCCAGCCTCTGCTCTTAGTGATGTGGCTTTCAGCAGGTCATGCCCCCACTTAGGTACCTGTGGCACTGCGGAAAATCCCAAACTCTACAGTTAAGAACAAAACCCCTTAATTTTCAATAGCTTGTAAGTTTATTGAAAAGTGTATTTTTAAAGCACTCTTGTAATTTTGTCCTCAGAGCAAAGGCAAATCACAAATGAGAGGCCTTAGCAAAAACTGTTTAGAGACAGCTGGTCCCCAAAGGCAGACCTCACACATTTCCAAACTTAGTCTCAAACTTATCCCCATGACAAACTTGGTTTCTGATTTTGCAGATCTTAATCTCTGGCAGTTGAAAGCTAAGTGCAGAAAAATCACACAAACTTGCCCATGTCTGTGTCCTTTTAAAAAGGCTCTCACAGGCACAACCTGTGTTCACTCTTGCCAACATGCCTGCTTCCTGGCAAGCTATGAGCTAAAAACATTGGTGATGGACTAAGCTTGCCTGCTGGAAGGTTACAAGCCAGCAGAAAAAGTATTTGTGGCTAAAGAAGAGACTTATTTCCCAGTGAGATATTACTATTAAGAGTATTAATCTCTTTTTCACTCAAAATTTCTTTTAAGGCCATGGTCATTCTTGCTGTCTCTCTCTTAAAAGCCATTACTATCCTTTAAAAATAAGATAGGTTTATGAGTTCTTTATGGGTATGTCAGGCTGCGCAAGCGGTTATAATTCTCCATCTCATTTGTTCTGCACTCTAACTGTCCCACCAAATGACTGTGGATCATTGCAAGTGTTGTTCAACAGCACTCCCTGAGATTTTCTGAACTTGCTTTCATCCTCTCGATTTATTCCTTATGACATCTCCAACAGGACAGGGAAACTCAGCTACCATCTTGGGGTATCCTCTAGATATCCTGGTGAGGGAACCAAAGCAGAGTGTGTGGGCTTCTTCCGACAGAATCTCCACCACTGCATTTCTTTATGTTGAGGTCCTTTTGGCATTTCAATTTTATGGGGATATGAGAAGGAAAAAGAGCACCTGAGACATTCTGCCTCTTACACAGGACTCATCCACAGCCCCTCATCACCTCACACGCAAAAAAGGCTGGCATCTCAGACTAGAGAGGACTGCCTGGTGTCCATCTGACTTAACCTTAACACTACCCACAGCAACCCTGCCAAGCATCTCAACCAGCGTGGGGCATAAGTGAATTATAGCAATCCTGTTGGTCAGGCAATAGCTTTGAGGAGAGAGGTGCCACTCAGAGTCCAAATACACTGGCCAGCCACTTCCCCACCAAGGGCTTAAGGTTAAACCAAGCCTACAAAGCACTTACACTGCAGTTTCCAGCCAGCCAGCTGCTGCAGCCACCATCATTTCATATTGTGCAGTGGGGATGGCCCTCTGGACCTTGCTGCTGTAAAGCCAGTAGCCAACTCTGTGACACTCTGATCTTAAACTGAGTATCTCAAACAAGACATCCTCTAAAACTGCCTGGTCCACAAGATGTTAGTTAACTCCTGGGCCGCAGGAGATCCTATCCTGGGCAGTTTTGGGACAGTTGCCCTGACAGAGCATCATAGACTGATTTGGAGCTATTAACACACCTTGTTGACATTGAACTGTACAAATGCTCTCATCATCCACAGCTGCTTTACTTGCCCTTTGACACCTGCAGCTTAAACACTGGCTCAGACGGTGCTCTTGCCATTTTGACAAGCCACTACCATTCTCAAAACATCCTTGTCTCCCAGGTGACTCTCAGCAGGGTGACTCTCACGTGGAAACTTCCAGCACTTGCTGGCACTTTCCACTGCCATTTCTGCAGCCTAACACTGGCATTTGCAGCCTCTGCAAGAGCTACTTACACCCCCAAATGTCCTCACTGCAGAGCTGGTGATTGGGGTGGTCAGGCAGAGCAACACTTAGTTGAGCAGGATGTTTGGTCAGGGACAGAGGAACAAGAAGGAAGTCTGAAAAGAGGATCAACACACAGGCTATGTGCACCTGGTAGAAGTCAAAGCACAATTAGGCAGCAATAGTGCCTAAATTTACAGGACAAGGTGAAAGCATGCAGGGGACTAACAAACACTAACAGGCGATTTCAGCAGACCTTAGAAAGCCTCATGCATTTCAGGATTTTAGCTTATGCCAAGCCAGGAGAAAACAAGCGAAAAATTGAAGGACGTTGCCATAAAAAAAGGGGACATAAAATAAGGTCAAGGTTTAATGCTTATTGCTAGAGCTGACCACAGAAAAGCCGAGACGAGGTTAGGCAATCAGGTTATGTAAAACTTGGGCTTCAAGGTCAGATCTGGCCTGTCTAGAGATACAGGGATTAATGCAATACATCCACTTGCAATATTGATGACACAATTTTCCATGTGGCTGCCTAACGAGCCAGGATCTGTCCCAGAACAGCATTCCTCCAGTGCTCCACTAGCGTTCCTGCCAACTATCTGCAGCGCGAGCACAAGATGACTCTTGCACCTCTGCAAATAAACAACTAATGCTTGAGCAATGTTGCTGCTTAGTGTCCTGGATATTTACTGTCTCTTGGCGTTGTAAAAACCTGTACAAGATTTAGCATAATTGTTTACAGTTAAGTTTATAAGAAAAATGCAACTTACATAATTCTCTCATGCAATATTTGCACGACACCATTTTTCAACCCATTTATTGTATTCCACAATTAATATACGCACAGGTATATTAATTCTCCATTAATTCTTCAAGTCAGTCCTTTGGAATACTTTGCTCTTCTAAAACTAGTTTATTGAACTGATTTTGTGTCAGTTTTTGGCGATCAGCAGATGTGCCATGAGGAAACTGGTGAACTGTCCAAGGAACTGTGTACATATTTTATTGTTGGGGAAAACCAGAAATCTCAGACACCAGAGGCAATTCACAGCTTAGAGCAGACACATACTCCACCTGCTGTAATGAAGTGGTTTTTTTTTCTCTGGGATGATCACTGTTTTGTGAAAAACAGTCACCTAGTGCCAAAGTATTTTGAAATCCATATTTAACATGTTCACCTAATGCTGTCAAGTACAAATGGTAAGGACAGGTAAGGCAGAAATTGGGGATGTGACTTCTTAATGCAGATGAGAATACAAGGACAGAAGTAGGAATATGAGAGAAAAGAAACTCAACCTTTAAAATCTGATGGCTTAATACATAATTACAGAAATTTAAACTGTTTCAGATCTATTTTGTGATGAACTTTGAGCTGGGAGAGTGAAATTTCAGATTTGATCCATTTGTTATGGAAATGTGGAATCAAAGTTTTGGCATGGAGCAGTGGCCAACTTCGGTGCAAATACAGCAAACTTAATACTCCTGCAGTAACACCTTAAAAATGGGCAGGGCTACTAGGACCTTTAGACTTAAGTGTATTCAATTATTAACTAAGAAGTGCTTCACCAGCTGTTTAGTGTTCTAAAGCATGTTTATTATCTGGAACTGCACAACCACTTGTATTGCACAACTGAATCCTCCATGCAGAAACATAACAGGAGCTTAATGAACTAACTATAAAGAATTAAACTGAATATCTAGCTCCTAAATCACAGATGCACAGAATGGTCAAGGCTGGCAGGGATCTCTGGAGGTCATCTCGTCCCACCTCTCTGCTCGAGCAGGGTTAAAGCAGCACAATTTAATTTTGACTGTGTTAGCACGTCTAATGCGGTCAAGCTTCACCGTAAAGCTTTGCTTGGTCTGTTGAGAAGGCTTGCAGGACAGCAGGACGTCACCCCTGGCCCAAAGACATGACGCTTTTTTACAGCGTCCCAAAGGTGAAGTATTACTCCTGTTTATGCTACTTATGATCTAAAAGCTGTCATTAACACATTGCTAAAGCTTATTTTTAAAGACTTATTTTTAACTTTGCCATTTAAAAGATACAGATATAGAACACAATGAGCCTTACTCCTCCTTCCCACAATTACTTTCCACTTGACCTAGAGTCTCTTCAGACAAAGCCCTGGCAGCAGCACTGAACACTCGCTTTATTTACAGACACTCCTGAAAGGTTTAAGATGCAAAACTAAAAACAGTGAGGGCCCAAGAGAACTTTATGTTAATATTAAAGCCCAAGTGATATCTGATGAGTTGTTATAGGAATAATTCCAAGAACTCATTTCAGTAAGGGCTAAACCAGATTGAAACGAACTCTGCCTTACTGATGTTGCCACTAACGTTCAGCTTTTAATTTCAGCACAGTTGTTATGTGTCATCATTCAAGTTATATTAACCTTTTTTTTCTTTTACACAGAAATAACGTTGAGTACCCTAAAGATAAAACACAAGCACAATTACCATCAGTTGTGTTTTTGTCCTTAAGAAACAGATCCAGTCATCATTTTAATTTGTGAATGAACCAACACAACAGGATCTGCAACCCAGCTCAACTAGCCCTCTCCTCCTGTTACTGCTCTGCTTGTTAAAACTATAGATCTGTGCTGCAACAGGAATCAGCTTAATTACAAAGCAGGCTGCTGCCACCCATGCAGAGGATTCTTCATTCTGTGTCACTCTCTCAGTCGGGTGAAACGTCAATTCCAAAAATGCCCAAATGATTGCAGGAGACTCATTTTCTTGAGATGTTTTTGAAATGAACCATCTCCCATCAGAAGGATTCCCATTCACCCTTTACTTTGGCCCATTGTGTTAAATCACTTGTCACCAGTTGCATTAGCCACAAGATTCAGCGTAGAAATACTGCAAAGCAGAGGGCAGACCAAAGAACAAGCAACAGGCTAGCAGAGTAATTGAGGGAAGCAACCAAGAAAAATCAAGGTAATATTAATATAAACGCAAATACCCTGAGAGCATTGATTCCAGCAAAAGCAAGAGCGTTCCTTTCCATACCTCCTGCTCTAATATTTCCAAGTGTGATGTACATGCATATGTTTGGGACTAACTGTAGGGTATGAGCCTTTACTTTTCAGCCTCTGTGTCCCAGCACTGTCAATGACTAGCTGCAAATCACACGATAGAGTCCATTTGTTCATCACCAGAAGGAATATAAAGGAAAAACATACCTTGTCCCACAAGGCACATTTTTCACTTCATCAGTCTGCAACGTGGTCTGAAATAAAAAGACAACCAGTGCTCTCAAAACCTCTCCATTCTCCAGGAAGATGATGCTGTGTCCAGACTCTCACATCCATTATGCAGGAACACAGAACCAAAAATGTGCCCTCTGCCTTCCTCCCAACTTTTGCAGGTGTGGACAGAAGACAGACTTCTTTTCAACTTGCCTTTCCCTGCTCTCAGTTCCTGCAGCTCTCCCAAGGAACAATTAGGGCCACAAACACAGACTGTCCTCCCAGAGCACGACGTCCCATCCCAAGCAACATGTGTAGGGGAGATTCCAACAATAGGACAGGTCCCAGCACACAGCTGGGTCTGGCACCTGAGGCAGAAGCAACCAAGGGCTTCCTCAGAGCTGCTGCTGCTCTGACTACCACATGACTGAGCCCCTCTGCAAACACCCGTTGCCCAAGTTACCCCCCACCTAGCAATATCCCTACCAACACCTGCTCCGCTCACCCTCTTCCAAGATGAGGAGATACTAACCTGCACAGATTTGAAGGTGGTAATGAATGGGAGCATGATGTGGTAGCCTGGTCCACTTGGACTAGATAACAACGCACCACCCCTACAGAGAGAGAGAGAAAATTGGGGAAAAGGCTCAAGCAACTGGAAAAACTAAGTGCTGGCTTTGAGAGCAAGGAAGTATATTCAAACTGCCAGGGGTCACAGCTGTGGGAGCGCAAATTACATCATGCACCTGCACCAAATTTGCCACTACCTCCCCTGCAAAAGGTCTGACGCCTATGACACTCGCATGGTGCAACTTGACAATTGTTTAATTCAGTTCTGTGAGAAATTAATTTTTAGACAAGGCAGATATTGCTTAATTCTTCCCTCACTGCAACATTGTAGAGAGCTTCAAGACCACAGATTTCCCTCTCTAAATAGTTCACTGGTAACCATGGAAAAATCCAGCAGCTGATGTGATACTGCCAGTTTGGATTTCTGCAAGGCATTCAGCACAGTCCCTCACTGAAAGTGCAAAGAAAACCTGCAGTCTCTCACAGGGACTGACAGGTGGTTAAAAGATGGAGATAGAGGAGAAATTGAAGTGATTGATCGTCATAGTGCAGTATGGTCTCCTGCAGCATCTCATGAGGGCCCATGCTGCTCAAAACACTTGTAATTAAGGGCAAGAGCAGTGCAAAGGAAACTGGTGGTGGTGAGGGCAAAGGGTAGAAGGGACAGGGCAGAAATATGACAAAAACTGCAAAGAAAGCGGAAAGGCTGGTGCTGAATTTCTCTATTCCTTTATTCAAATTCAAAGCAGAATCTAGTCAAGAGGTGGCATTATGTGGCTGTAACCGCTCACTGTTGTGGAATGACAATGAGTTGCTTTACAGATAGTGTTCATGGCATTTATAGGCCCCAGGGTTCTCCCTCAGCCCAGAGCCAGGGAGAAGACCTATTTAAAAACAACAAGGTGGGTACTGGCCGACAGTCTTTGAACAAAGGTGACAGCCCTCAACGTAAGAGGGAGAGATCAACAGATATGAAAACCCAAGAGTTTTGGTCTTCCAAGCTCTGAAACGCCAACTGTGACCCAGAGAAAGGGGAAGGAGGAAAAGTAGCTGAGGATTCAGGAAGATCAAAACTCATATAGGGTTCTGCAGAGCCAGGCCATCCAGGCCCACCTCATTCCTGATGCAAAAAAGAGCAGAAACAATGATGTTTGCCCACCTCGGGGCAAAACCTGGAAGGGAAACACAGGAGCCTCCCGAGGTGACCTGGGGCCAGGGATGAATCCCAAGCGGAAAGAGAGGGAAACACAGGGAAGGCTCCGGACGCCACTGCGGGCACTGGCAGGGAACAACAGTACCTGTAATAGACAGCCAAGTGCCCCTCCTCGACCTTGTGGATGGAGAAGTAGAGGAAGAAGACCAGGAGTCCCGCAGCAGCTGCAATGACGGCTCCAGCCTGGGCCATGGTCATCCTCACATCGCCTGCGGGACAGAGAGACCGAGACGCGGTCAGGCGGGGCCTGCTGCCGGCGTTCTGCTTCCCCTCCCCGGTGCCGCCTCCCTACCCGCTTCCTCACGCAACGGGTCCCTTTTTTCGGACCCGACAAGCTCGGGAATAGCCCCGGAGCACGCAGCGAGCGGAGGGAGGCCGCCTCACCCCTCCCGCTCGCGGCGCTGGGCGCGACGGCGGCCGACCAGGACCCCCCATTCCCGGCGGATAGACCGCGGGCACACGGACGGCACCGGGGGCCGCTGACCCGCCGGCTGCTCCCGGGACCCGGCTGGGCCCCCGCCCCTCAGGTTGCTCCGTGGGGCGGCACCCGCTACCCCCCTTCACGGCTGCCCCCTCTCCGGACACCGGGCGCCAAGGCGAGCCGCCGCCCCCCCGCCCCGTACCCGCCGCGCCCACGTGCGGCCGAGGGCTCGCTCCCGCCCCGCCGCGCCTGCGCGGCACCTGCTGATGGCGTCACGGGACGCGACGGCGGGGGAGGGGGCGGCGGACACGCACCGCCTTGTTGCCTGGCAACGGGGGGTGGGAGGAGAGGATGTGTGCGCGCGAAGGGCCCGCAGCGAGGGACCAACCACACGGCCTCTCCACAGCGTTTATTGCGGTTAATTCCACTTCACACAGATACAATCTGTACACAGTTCGCGTTCCGCACACTGCGGCAGTCACGATAAGCAGCAGGAGGGCGGTGAGGCGGGGAAGGCGGGACAGACCCAGCCCTAAAGCGGCTGCCAGCTCTTGGCTCTCCTCCCAGCCTCTCCAGGAAAGGTTTTGGGGAGAAATCACACATTCAACAGGCACATTACTCCTCTGGTGGAAAGTCTGAGTCGGCACCGGCCTGCAAAACGCTGTTTTGTTGCCGCCAATGGTGTTATCTGCCACCAACCACCACCTTCGCCATCAGCTCCGCTAAGGTTTACAAAACCACAAGGTGACCGAGTGACCTCCAGCTTATCATACTGCAGGCTGCCAAGCCACCTCGCAGCATGCAGGGACTTTGCAGACAGCAGCGCCTCAGCTCCTTCAGCTATTTCAGCCAGCTCCAATCAAAACTCTGAAAGAAAATGCAAGGAAACAACTGAAGTGCAGGAAATGGCTATTGAATGTACATTTTGGGTCCAGAGGAGGCCATGAAGATGCTGCGAGAGCTGGAGCCCCTCCTGTGAGGACAGGCTGAGAGAGTTGGGGGCTCTGGGGAGACCTCAGAGCCCCTTCCAGTCCCTAGAGGGGCTCCAGGAGGGACTCTTTATCAAACAGTGTAGCGATAGGATGAGTGGGAATGCTTTAAGCTAAAAGAGGGGAGATTTAGATTAGGTATTAGGAAGAAATTCTTTCCTTTGAGGGCAGTGAGGCACTGGAACAGGTTGCCCAAAGAAACTGTGGCTGCCCCGTCCCTGGAGGGGTTCAAGACCAGGCTGGACAGGGCTTTCAGCAACCTGCTCTGGTGGGAGGTGTCCCTGCCCAGGGCAGGGGGGTTGGAACTAGATGAGCTTTAAGGTCCCTTCCAACCAAAACCATTCTGTGCTTCGGATTTCCAAGGTGGTGACCAAACGCTGCTCAGTACCCAGCATCTCTCTCTTCTCAAAGAATCAAGGAGCTGGGGGTGCTGGTTGACAGCCCCTGAACATGAGCCAGCAGTGTGCCCATGTGTATCAGGAACAGCATGGTGAGGAGGACTAGGGCAGTGATTGTCCCACTGGTGAGGCTCCACCTCAACTACTGTGTCCAGTTTTGGGCGCCTCACTGCAAAAGAAACATTGAGGTGCTGGAGCCGGTCCAGAGAAGGGCAGCAGAGCTGGCGGGGGGTCTGGAGCACAAGGCTGGTGTGGAGCTGCTGAGGGAGCTGGAGGGGTTCAGCCTGGAGAAACGGAGGCTGAGGGGAGACCTCGCTCTCTCCAACTCCCTTAAAGGAGGGTGTAGCCAGAGGGTGTTGGTCTCTTCTTCCAATTAACAGGTGTAGGACAGTAGGAAACGGCCCCAAGTTGCGCCAGAGGAGGTTTAGGATAGATATTAGGAAAAAATTATTCACAGAAAGGGTTATTAAGCATTGGAACGGGCTGCCCAGGGCAGTGGTTGGATCGCCATCCCTCGAGGTATTTTAAAAGATGTGGTGCTGAGGGACATGGGTCAGTGGTGGGTTTGGCAGTGTTAGGTTAATGGTCAGACTCAATGTTCTTAAAGGTCCCTTCCGACCTAGACAATTCTATGATTCTATGTTGCTCTACAGTGGAAAACTAATCTCACAATTTCACCACTCGGTTTGCCCCAACAGAAAATGCCCTGCTACTTATTGCAGTGCTCAGGCATGGCACAGACTGTACTGACTGGAAATTCCATTTTGTGCCTGCAGAACTCCTGCTGCCGGTGTTCCTAGTGCACCACGGGACATACTTATACAGGAAGAACACAAGTGAAAAAGGCTCAAAGTCAAATGCATGCAATAGAGAAAAGCTTCTGATTAATTCTTTTTTCCTTTGGTTTTCTCCAAGTGAACTGAAGAGGACAAGTCCCATTTTCTGCTGCTTTCCTGTTGCCTAAATTCTGTCCCCTGATGTGAGCAAAAGGGGAAAGAAATCAAACATAACAAAAGAGGTGTCGATCTGCAGAGTGTGATTCCACAACAATGAACAGGCTTTCTGGGCTAAAACATGCCAGAGATAGATGCTGCAGCTTGGAAAGAGATATGGGAGATGACAGAGACACGGATGATTAACAGGTCATATGCCAGTCACATGGCTTCCCGCTCCACTCCAGCCACAGCCAGGAGACAAGACAAGACAGAAAATTGTATTACACAACTGATACCAACCCTGTCAGAACTGACCAAAGACAAACAAAGCATTCATCAACTGATGGATGAAGATCATGGTAAGCATAATTAAGGCCATTTTCACCACTAACATAATTACTTCGCCTTAAACAGTAGCTAATTTCATTTCCCCATTCATATTGCTCAATCCCTTGCTATTACAGTGTCATCTGCAACTTCCACTATTAAGTTTTCATTTCACCATCCCACATAACTTACTAACTCTAGTAAACTTTAATTTCACTGTCTATTATTCATAAACATTAGAACATTGCAATTTTTATGAATTAAAATGTTTATAAGAGCTCCATTTCATCAACCACCTCAATTTCCCCAACCTTGTTCCTTGTTATTTCAGCAGTTACAAATGGTAAACAACTTCAGCTTTTTTATCCCATGAGAACAGAAGTTATCCCTAAAGAGGCCTTTAAGAAGCTTTTTGAAAATTAGTGGATTTTTGACTTCTTTACAGGACTGCAATAAATTTGTAAGACAATCTCATGCTAACAGAAGCTGTATTGACTCTTCTCCATTATAAAAAAGGTCAATCTACATGCCTAATTGTCCTTTTCTAATTATATTTATACAAGTTATTCTATGATACAGCCCCTAAAATTATTGGAGAGCCTCTTCTAAAAGACCCGTATTCTGTGGTGCACTTCATTCTTCTGGTAACTGGGCTCTTTCGAGCAATAACTTCCTGGCCTCAGTTAGTAGTTCAGGAACAGAGTTTCCGATTGTATCAAAACATCTGGACCATCGTTATTTACTTTTGAAATTTGTTATTTCAAATACCAGTTTGTGCAAAGAGCTGCCTTAGGACTCTTTAAAGCTCCACTTCTGCCCCAAGGAGAGCTTCAGTGAATGATCAAGAAAGGGCTCTGGAAACGAGAGAACCCTGCTCACTCCAGGGCAGGGACACAAAGCAAGACTGTCTCCAGTTGAGAATGCAACCAGCGTTCAGAGCAAGCTCTGCCAGCCAGGGGGTCTCACAGAACAGCCTGCTCCACCATGCAGACCGCTTGGCTGATGTAGCCAAGTGCTACCTTCCATTAACAACTGGCACGTTAGCAGAGTCCAGGAGGGATAAGAGACACCACATGCCAGCCACAGTGATTCACATCATCACAATGACCCTCTTTAAGGAGTTCTCCACACCCCCAGAGGACCCTGCCATGGCTCGTAAAAATCAGGTCCTCAGAAATATATCAACAGACTTACCATCATGCTGTTGTTCTGCTCCTGTCTCACCTCCTGCAAAATACTGCTAAAGAGTTCAAGGTAATTCAGGTTCTCTTCTATCACATGGACAAAATTTTCCCTGCAGGGAAGGCACAAGATGATAGATTTAAAACACAAAGTAATAGCAACATCAGTAGGCTCTGCACTGGGGGGAAAAAACCCCCAAAACCAAACAACCCCAAAACTGATTTATAGTTCTCTGCAATTGTAGGAGCTACCTTGTAAGGCACAAAAACATGCCTTGAGGTGGCATCCTGCAGATCCCCATCCTGGGAGTGTGGATGTGCACTCTTTCTCTGCAGAGGAACCGCACAAACCCCCCTGAAACTCAGCCTGTACAGAACTTAGAAGTGAGCTGACTATGAGGGGCCTGAAATCACTGCCTGCTCCCCATAAGATTTACATCTCTTGGCTCTTCATACGGTGAAGTCATGGTTTGAAGAGGAGCTATAAGGCGATCCAAAGGCACCTTGCTCAGGAAAGCAGCTATTAAAGGAGGATCACTCAACATTACTCAGAGGCGAAAAAGAGGAAGTGAAAAAGGTTGCTCAGGGTTTCAAAAAAATCAATTGATTTCCTGCAAAAGCCTGCTTAGAAGATGTGTATCTTCAGAACCTAGGTATTTCCCTGGCAATCCAAAAAGAAAGAGATGGCCAAAATGGTTTAATGCCAATGTTCACAACCCCTGCCCCAGACCCCACAAAACCAGCACTGCTGTGGACTGAGGGCTGAGCAGCCTCTGAGGAGCACCTTCCTTTCTGTTATACTGATTGGAAGTAAAATTGCTAATGAAGCAAAGAGGAAAAACCCCTCAGCTCCTGACAACTCTCTTACTCCACTAGGACTGGCTGAAAGAGAGGGGCCTTAATAACCAAATCCAACCTCAAGACAGAATAACATGACATACAAGAAATGAATAGCACAGTGCTTTACGCAAGAGTGGTATGTAGAACTTGCTGAGGACCAGAAAGTGGAGGTTTCTGAATAAAGAGTTCAACCTAATTCCTGAATTTTTACAGCATTAGTAACAT